ATACGCTAAACAACTGCCCCCTGACTGCAGTTCAATTACTCACTATCTACACACACATTACCTTCCCGTCACGTTGTCACCCTCTTTTATATACCAGACTACCCTATATCTAGTAAATACTAGAGCATTCGCCAAGGTACAGGATAGTTCTAGAAAATAGGTGGCGCCACACCAGTCACGTGACCTAGATGACGCAACAGTATGTTTTATCGCATAACTACGTAATGGGTTGTATTCTCTCTATTCGCGGCAGGTATCTAACCCCAAATTTCAGAGTTATAAAGCTGAACTTTACCGCTAAGCCACCGGGTGGTCCAATATTTCAAACAGAATTAACCCAGTTTCAAGTGTAACTTGTTATTTATTTTCTGTGTTAAGTACTCAATTATTCAGATGAACAAAGTTTTACATCAAAAGAGCGCGTATCCACACGTGGATATATTTAGGAGAATTGTTATCATACCTGTATTGCTTTTTTATTTTCATTTTTCGGCAAACAGAACTCTTTTGATTGATTGATTGTTAAGCCAAAAGCTAAACGAAGGGCTGTCTGTGCTATTCCAACTACGGATATTGAAACCCAGATTTTAATGTTATAAAATAATGTGATAAAAATCAGTCACCATATTTTTGTACTCTACAGTTATTGGGTTTTACCAAGCTCTTTCTCTCTCAGTATAAATACTATTAATTAGAAATATGAATGAGTTATTAGTGTAACAGGAGTATTGCAGGATTGACGTTCAAAGCTAAAAGTTGTTTTAATGATCGAACTATATTGTGGCTGCTCACTTGAACGTGTTATAAAAGTAAACAAAAAATACGATTTTTATTTACTTCTGTTGGTTATTTGATTTCAGAATATGATTAAACGTTATGTCCGACAAAGGTATTTTCCCAGAATTCTCTTAGTTCCATTACATATTTTAAGTACCCCGGTGGAACATCGGTAAGTCTTCGGATTTACAAGGCTAAAATCAGGAGTTTGATTCACCTCGATGGACACAGCAGATGTGGCTTTGCTATAAGGGCCCGGCATAGCCAGGTGGTTAAGGCACTCGACTCGCAATCTGATGGTCGCTGGTTCGAATCCCCGTGACACCAAACATGCTCGCCCTTTCAGCCGTGGGGGCGTTATAATGTGACGGTCAATCACACTATTCGTTGGTAAAAGAGTGGTCCAAGAGTTGGCAGTGGGTGGGGATGACTAGCTCCCTTCCCTCTAGTCTTACACTGCTAAATTAGTGACGGCTAGCGCAGATAGACCTCGTGTAGCTTTGCACGAAATTCAAAACAAACAAATAAACTTTGCTATAAGAAAACACGCACACACATATTTTAAACAAGAAGTGTGCAAAACAGCACTTTAATACCACATGTAGTTGCTGAAAAGACTTTGCAGTCAATAACAGTACTCATCGTCAGATGTACAACTCTTAGTTAAATCTCCAATTCTTTGAACATGAAAAGCTACATTAGAATACTGAAGACTCTGTAAATAGTTAGACAATTCTATTTTCACTATTCCTATCTCTCTTTATATATTCTTCGGTATTTTTAAGACGTTTTTAATCAAAAGATATTTTCTTAATATGAAAAGGAAGTTGTTAGCTTGGTAGATGGATATGTATAGATATGTGGTATTTTAAGGTGAAGTGATTTTCTTGCGTTAGACAGATCCGCTTAATAACGAAAGGATCGAACAAAACATTTATGGAGTAATCTGAATTTGAAGAGATTAGTATTTAGCAGCTTCTTTACGAAGCCTTTATAGCCTTTCGTTATGTTTTTGTGGCAAAAAAATGTTAGCATTGTTCATTTACATTTTCAGACTATTCTTTTTTGATATATATATCAATGGCAAAGCTTTATTTTTCTTCATAAACTATGAAACCTCTGAAGCGTGACTGCGAGTCTTCTTTAAAATCAATTCTTTTCATTAATTTTGCAAAAACTTGTTATGTAGCATATAACATTTAGTAGATAAATTATCCAGTGTCAGTTTATGTGGTTAAGTATTTCTTAATCAACAGTATTTGATATATTTTCACAATTGTGTATAAGAAAGTTATATGTATATATTTATCTAGTTATTTATTTTTACAGTTACTCCCAGTCAAGATGTCTGTTATCATAAGACTACAGAATCTTCCATGGTCTGCCAATTCTTTGGATATCCGTCGTTTTTTTAATGGTTTATCCATCCCTGAAGGTGGCGTGCATATTGTTGGTGGCGAAAAAGGAGATGCTTTCATTGCATTCAGTACTGATGAGGATGCTAGACAAGCTATGGAGAGAGACGGTGGAAGAATAAGAGAGATTAAAGTAAAGTTGCTTTTGAGCAGCAGGACTGAAATGCAACGGGTTATTGAACAAGCTCGAAATCAGAGTTTAGGAATTCAGCCAACTGTGCCTCAAACACAACCAAAAGGATCATCAAAAGAAAAAGACAATGAACGTAAACATACTCCTGATAGAGCCAAAAGCCCTGACAGACGACGTGATAAGGAGCGATCCCCAAAAGATAAAGAGAGAAGTAGAAGGTCAGGCCGAAGTCACAGAAGTAGAAGTCGCAGTCCTCGACGTTCAAGAGATAGGGAGAGGGACAGAGATCAAGACAGAAGAAATGAACGACAGAGAAGAGATGAAAAATCCAGTGATAGATTAAAGCCACCAGATCAAGCTTCACAACCTAAAGACAATGATATTAGGGCTAGGAATACTGGTTTAAGTAGGGAACAGCGTGAACCTGCCTTTACTCCTGGAGGTGTGCCCAATGGAGGAATGGGAATTTCTCCACAAGCTAGAGGAATACTATTTGAAGAACCGACATTAATGTTAGAAAATGACCATGTGCACTCAGGTCACCCACCCTTTCCACCAAACTATGATCAAGCAGGACAAATTAGCCATTGGGGGCAAAGTTTTCCACCTGAAGACACCAGAGACCAGTGGAGAGAAGAAAGGCAAGGACTCTTAGTGCCGCCTGGACAATTTGGTGGTAGACCTGACCCAAGAGGAGCTCCCTTAGCCCCACATGAAAAAGGTTACCATGTTTCTGGAACTCCATATAGAGGAAGATATCTAGGTAATGAAGTTGTTCCAGAAAGACATGGTGTTTCATTCCCAGACCGAAGAATTACTCATGACGAAAACAGAAGAAGTGGATTTGATGAACAGAGAGGAAGGGGAATAGAACCATTGGACAGAAACCCATCTCATACTGGACCAAGTTATGAAGATCATGGGACAGAACAAATGGAAAATTTTGTGGAAAATTTACCACATAGGTTTGCTGGGCATCCACCACATGATGATTATGATGGTAGAGGTTATCCCCCTACTTCAATGTCTGGAGACCCCCGTGGACGGGGAGCACCACCCGGACCTAGAAATCCTGTAGTACGAGGTCAAGACCCTAGAGCTTTTAGACCAGTCAAAGATAGGCCAGTGCCACATGGCCCTGATGGTAGACCACCATTGTTGACTGGGCGAGGTCATCACCCAGGAGGCCCATTTGAATCAGAATATGAATCATATAGTGAATTACCACCACGTGGACCCCCAGGTCCCTGTGTTGAAATTCGTGGATTACCACGTGATGTCCGACCTGTTGATGTACATGAATTACTAAGAGGTATCCACATTCCTTCAAATGCTATTAAACTAACATATGATGGACATGGCGTACCAACTGGTTATGCCTATGTAAGATTTGCTAAACCCCAAGATGTTGTTGAAGCTTTGAAACGAACTGGTCAGATGATTGGAGATAGCTATATAGAAATTGTTAATTGTCCAGAAAGAATGTTTGCTGAAGCAGATTCTTATCCTAACCCACCTTCCTCAGGAAGAAAACCTCCCCCATCTGCATCCTTTATGGGACATCATCCACCCCGAGAGGATGACCTGTGTATATATTTGCGTGGTTTACCTTATCATTGTTGTGATGAAGATATTATAAACTTTTTTGATGGGCTACGGATTTTAGATATTTTCATTGAGTATGATAGAAATGGACGAGCAGTTGGTACTGGATTCGTGGAATTTGGTACATCAGAAGACTTTCAAGCTGCTTTAGCAATGGATAGAAAAATGATTGGCCACAGGTATATTGAACTTTCAGTCGCAAGTAAGTCCATGATGAATGAAGCAAAAGGAGGAGAAGAACCAGGGCCACGTCCATCTGGTTGGATGGGGACACGAAAGGAACTTCTTCCCCCACCAGCTGAACAAAAAGGACCATCATGTGTAGCCTTACATGGTCTTCCAGTAGAAATTTCAGATCAGGAAGTTGCAGATTTTTTTGCTGAAGTAGGTATCATACCTCGAGCAATTCATATCATGTTGGGGCCTAATGGGCTACCTTCAGGAGATGCTTTTGCCGAATTTGCCTCTAATGATGAAGTTGTCTTAGCACTTAAAAAAAATCAGCAGTACCTGGGTCTGAAAGTGGTTGCTGTTAAACCTATAACTTATCAGGAAATGATTGATGTTCTTGAAGGTCCACCATCTGAACAAGATGCACTTTTACAACCTCCAGATCCCTCGTTGTCTCAAAGAAATTCGGGAAAGCCATTGATGAATACTCCTCCAGAAAAAGGAAGATATTTAATGGAACCACCAACAGGAAGAGGAAGAGGAAAACCTCTGTTAGAATCAGCTGGTAGAGGTAAGTCAGCTGGAGAACCAATGGCAAGAGGCCGTGGTAGACCATTATTGGAGGCTGGGGGCATGGGAAGAGGCCAGTCACCTATCCATGAAGATCATATTCAGTCAGATAACCATGATACTCATCCTCATGGACTTCCTGGTCGTCGTGGACCAATGGGGCTAGATCGTTGGGCTGGTCCACCAGAAGGGCCTCCTATGGGAAGAGGGCATCGTGGATATCCTCCAGAGAGGCCATTGCCACATGATCGGTATCCATCTGGAATAGATGGCTCAGGGGGACCAAGGTTCCATGGTCCTCGACCTGAAGAAGGGAATGGATTATCTGATCATTATCGTTCTCTTGGTCCCCGAGGCCCACCAGGAGGTCCAATGGGTTCAAGTAACAGAGGCCATCCAGATGGTCCATTGCGAACAGGTAACAGAGGGCCTGCAGATGTTCTAATGGGGCCAGATAGCAGAAAACCTTTAGATGGCCCAATGGGACCACGAAGAGGACCCCCTGAAGGTCCAATGGGCCCAGGTAAAATAGGACCACCAGAAAGTCAATTAGGACTTAGCTCTAGAGGATCTTCCAATCGTGTAACAGGACCTGGTAATAGAGGACCAGAAGGTTCAGTTGGTCTTGATAAAGGACCTTCAGAAGGAATAACTGGACATGGCGCTAAAGATTCATTGGATAAACCAGGAGGGCCTGATGATAGAGGACCACAGGAAAACCCAGTAGGTCCTAAACGAAGGGGGACTTCAGGAGAATCACAAACAGGACAAGGTCATTCAGGTGTACCAGAAAGCCATATGGAAAGAACAAATCCAGATCCTCGAGGACCTCCATTGGGATCAAGAGGTCCACCACAGTCTGCATATCCACGGGGACCTATGATGGAAAGGCCAAGAGGACTACGCCCACCAAGACCTCTTGATCCAGGTCCTAAAGGATTTGGAAAACCAGGTTGTGTTATTGCAGCAAGTAACGTACCGTATCGTGCTACAGTTGAGGACTTATTAAGCTTCTTTGAAGGTTATGAGTTGACAAAAAATAGTGTCATTAGAAGATTTAATGAAACTGGTCAACCAACAGGGGATGCACGAATTGCTCTTAAATCTCCAGAGGATGCCCTGAAGGCTGTTAAGGAATTAAATGGAAAAGAAATAGCTGGGCGACCAGTGACGTTGCAAATGGTTTAACACTGGCTTAATCAAAGATTGGACTAAACTGAAAATGTGTTTGTACTTTAAATACATTGCGAAATCTAAAACTGTTTTTGTAGATGATGATATCCTGTCATTTAATTGCTGCTAAGATACGATTTCTCAAATAATTTCTTTTTAATATACAGTGTCCTGATTTTGTCTTAATGTTTGAGTACAGTGTGTGCCTTTTCGTAGTTTTTATTGCAGACTGGTCTCAATGGTGCATTTGGATTCTTATGAGTCCTATATAAAAACATTTTCCCCCTGTTTAGCATAGTTCAAACTTTTGAATAATTTTATTTCACACATAACTTAAGTTGAAAACGACACGTGTCAAACCAACTTGTCGAACTTCCAATTTTATGGGAATGTTCGTTATCGTATTCACTGTTATGATAACATTCATACATGCAAATCTCTAAATTTTAATTCTCTTGAAACTAATAATTTTCAAAATTACGAAAAATTACTTGTTTGTGAAATCATAATCCTTTTTATCTTATCCCTAAAATGAAATAAACGAATGTAATGTAATATATTCTGATTAGCATCAAATCTACGACAACTTATTTATTAAAAACAAGTTTATTTTGAAAAGTTTAACAACTAAGATTTTGATGTTTACCTAGTCTCAATATTTGTTTATCATTTAAAGATAACATTTGCGTTGTTATACCACAAATATTTGTTCTTCGTTTTTAAAAAAAAAATACTTTCATATTTGTTGAAAATATAATACTTATTAACCTTCGTTGAAGTTACATTTATATTATTTTGGATAAGAGAAAATGTGTATGACTACTATGGTATGCCATTTTTTTCATTGTTTTTAATAAGTCAGGTCATTGTAGCTTAATTGTACCATTTTTCCTTTCTGTTTAGTAAATGGTGACACATTATGTAAAATACGAAAGCCGTCATGTTCCTGTATTGTAATTTTTCATAAAAGTTTTTGTGACAATGTATGGTTACTCCTTGTTGAATAAACCATATTCGTTTTTAAGATTTTGATTATTCTGTTATTCAGAAAAATACTAAAATTTTAATATTTGATTAGCCATTGTATGTCAGATTAACTTATCTGTAGATGATAACAATGAACTAATTTCAAGAACGCCAATCTGACAGATAACAGTGGCCCGGCATGGCCACTTGGTTAGGGCGCTCAACTCCCAATCTGCGGGTCGCGGGTTCGAATCCCCGTCCCACCAAACATGTTCGCCCTTTCAGCCGTGGGGACGTTATAATGTGACGGTCAATCCCACTATCCGTTGGTAAAAGAGTAGCCCAAAAGTTGGCAGTGGGTGGTGATGACTCTAGTCTTACACTGCTAAATTACATAACATTTCAATGAAAATAACCTCAAATTCTGGATAAAAATTATGTTTTCTATCCAATGTTTTGTTTACAAGCCTTCATCAGGGATTGATCTACAAAGACAAAAATAGCGAAAAGCAAGGCTATTTCTCAAATAACAAACCAATAATGTGCAACAATGATTTGAGTAAAGTAGTAATAGGATAAAACACAGCTATTGAAAAACCAAGATTCTTCAACAAATATCCCATAATATGTATGTATAAAATCAGAAGAATTTAAATTTAGAACTGAGAAAAGAGGTAAATTTAATTACACAAGAGGTTTATGAATTGAGTCAGCACTCGAGAAGTCAAAATTTGGAAACTATAAGATTATCAAAGGAACTGAGAAAAAATGTTAACAACAATGTACAAAAAATATAAATAAAATTAATGAGGATGTTACAGAAGCTGTATACAGAGTATCAATTGTAAACACCTATAATAGTAAAATTTATATCTAAAGTACTAAGATATAAACGTTTAATAAGTAATAAGAATATAAAACAAAATTGAAAGAGTAATGATATAGAACTTAGGTTTAAGTAATGTAATATTATCTAAACGAACAAAACAGAAATCTAAACAATACATAAACTTTGTAAATAAATGTTGGTAAAAGAGGAAGAACTATATAAGAGAAAGGTAGAAATGTTAAAAATATGTTGAATAAGAGTCGGAGAAGACATAAGAAAATTATGGAAAAAATGGATGATGAAAATTAATAAGTTTCTGATGCAAAGGCTAATAACAGTTTAATGCTTGAATGTAAATAAATTGAAATTATTCATGACAAAAAATACATAATTATTGCAGATAAATACCAGAAGTATTAGAAATAAATTGGAACAAATCGAACTCTTGTTTGATAACTTAGCTTATAATGTGGACATTTGATATTTACTGAAATGTAAATAAAAATTAAATTAAGTTGGTATGAATTAGATAGATTTGAAATATTTCATAAGTAAAGACTGTATACTAGGGAGGACGGAGTAATGGTTTATGTAAAAAAAATTGTATAAAAGTATAACAAATTGAAAATTAAAATTAACAACCACAAAAAAATAAATACATATTTAAAATGTTATGCAATATTTATATTGGATCTGTACAAATCTCATGGTTTTACGCCTTATGAGGTTTTAGAAAAAACTAGAAACAGTGTTACGTGATATTACAAATGATAACTTGATCTGTGTTGGTGATATAAATATTGACTTATTAAAATAAAAACTGTAAATAATCATCTAGATTTACTTACCATGTTGCTATTTGAATTATATATAAATGAACCAACTAAAGAGATAAATTAAACATATTCATGCTTAGATCATGCATTTATAAAAAATATAAGTATAAATATTTCACATATAACAATTGTTAAAATTTCATTATCAGATCATTTTCCTAGTGTCCTCAAAGTAAAACAGACCGAAAAATAAGAGTTCCAGATTGCATTGATAATGCCCTTAAACAAGAAAAATGTTTTTAAAGTTAGATTTAAATCCGAAAGCCAGTGAAATACTGGGAAAAAACAGGCATAAAAGTGTTTTCAAAACAAATTAACTGCAAATATTGTTTCCACATCCCTCTTAATTTGTTCATTGCGTCTTGAAATCATAGGTGCATGATAGATAACAATTAAGATCTATCTTTTGTCCCCCACAACTCACTGCCCAGTGAGCTAAATACCAGAACTCATCAGTTGGGCTATACAACGAGAGACAACTTTAACCATTTTAAGCCTATTAGTTTTCCAATATTTTGCCGACTTTTGGCGTTTAAACTGTAACATTTATAATATTATCCTACATATATAAATAGCATTGAACCTTTTGAGAGATTGGTCCTACTTTTGGACTTCATGGCAATTGTCACTACTGATATCGTGTTAGTTATCATATCAGTGAGTTACTCGTTTGTATTATCATTGTTACTCATAATTTCTCTGGTTTATTTATTACTGCGTCTGGTCTATTAGTTGTTCAGGGTTTTATCTCCACTTGTATTGGATGTATTCTAGTTTACCTGATGTGGTGGTTTGTCACGATATGGCTGAGCAACAAGTGTTGTCTTCTACTAAACACCTGGTTAAGCTCTATTCTGGACCCAGCGATGACTCCTGGATATCCATGTCATCCAATAATATTCCTTTATTGACTGCTACACTGGAATTAAATGATCCTCCACCACCAGTTGTTGTCTTTCCTGAGGCTGCTACTATGGTGAAGTTGCATCTCAAGAAATGTCTGCCATCCCTCCTTCTATTATAACAATGTCCAACACTTCAAATTCAGCCATAACATTTTATGTGTTTCCTTTATCCGATCCACTTTTGTCTATGATTTCTATGGATGCCAGTTCTATAACAGCCTTCTCTGTGTTTTGCTATCTCAAATTTATTCTAAATTCTATATGTTTTTGAATATTTTCAAGTATTATCTTCGAGTTGACATCCACCAAATTATACCAACTCGTAAGTCATTGAGACCTATAATTATCAGCTATTTGGCATCCTTTGTATCAAAGTGATGATCACAAATTTAGGCCCTAACTTTACCATTCAGAAACTAAAATCTCCTTCTCTTAACAACCATTTCCTTATCAAACTCTATGGCTTTCAAGTGTAATTTGTGGAATGGATTCAACTATTTCAGAAAAAGAAACAATTTCAAAACTACCTGAAATCAAGATGTTGATAGGGGGAGCAATCTAAACTTATAAAAGTGAAACAATTTGTTTGTTTGTTCGCAAAATACTCCGTAATTTTTTAACTAATCTCAACCAAACCTGGTAGTATGATCAGTCATATGTTGGCTGTTTAAGAGTAGGACTACAAATAAATCTCTATTTTGGCCCAGTAAGGAGGAAGAACTTCTAAAGTGGTCTATCAATAAACACTCAGAGTGTCAACAAACACTGTCGAGAGGGATTAGTAAAAGTAAGAAACTAAAGGAGAAGAAAATTAAAGTACTGTAACTTTAACAGCATTTCTGTAATGTGGAATAAAGTAGTTCTAAAGTAAATTATGTGATAAATAATTTGTGTATACGAGTACAAATTCTTGATTTAATTTATTATTTCAAGCTCAACATTCAATCCTTATGCCCCGGACGTAGGAAGGGTGCTTAAACTTGTATGTATTAATAACGCTCAAGAACCAACTTTCATGATTTGACTTTTCGCAAAAAGTAGTAATGTAATTGACCACCTTCTTCAAAATGGTGCTTTTATATTTAAGCAATAATATCTAGTGGAAGCTTCTTGGACACCTCCACCCCATCCATTTTGCTGTTGAAACTACCTGAGCTATAACCTATGGTTATAGCTATTGCCTATGGTCGTAAAAGCTGGTCACGTCAGACAGCGTAACTAAACTGTACTCACCCCCATTTGCAGTTGGTCCATCCCACATCTTCCTTTAAATGCTGGGGAAAACACAGACTTGAAGATACCGTTACTGTGGCTTCTGCTGGTCCTAGTGATTCTGTTACACTTCCTTCAAATTCCACCTCTCTACTTATAACCATAGAAGACACTCTCCAGTTTATTACTATTACTCTACAAAATATTTTCCCATTTCAAAAAGCTATTGTCCTGAGCAGCATCCACTATGAGCTAAGTCTGTCTTTAAACTTAATATACAAGCCACATATTCTGGCTTCAACACTCACTTTCATTTCCGTCATTTATGGGATCTTGAAGGGTAAGGATACATTGAGACTACCCGTTAAAATGTTTCTTTGTTAACATCCATTTCTTCTTCTACTTTTAGACAGAGGAATCCTATGCTTGTATTGTTTTCAACGAGACTTTCTTCAAACTGACCCTAAAACCAAAATTATCTGACTGCAATTTCCATCACTGTGGTTACCCTTCAGGTATTGGCAAAGGAGGGGTGGCAACCTGTACTCGTTTTCATCTACTCATTCGTATTCAGTATATTTCCCAGAACACTTCTTTCTGAATACCTTATTCTCACTGTATACTTTCCTTCCAGAATTGTCACATTATCTACTATATACGTTTATTCTGGTGTACTCTTACCACATGACTTCTTCTACTACTTGGATGAAAAATTGTAAGTTATGTTATCTTGGTTAACTTCAATTATCATAGCCGAACTTCATCTGAATTTAATCAATTTTAATCTACTTTGCGGAATATTACTGGATCTATATTATCTCTTCCTTCTCCAAGCCACCTAGAATCAAATTCTTCACCTGATGTTGTTAAGGCTTCAGTGAACCTAGCTTCTCTTCTTCTTCTCTCAGCATGTGTGTTCAGTGAGTAATGCTCACCTTCTCATACGGGTTCAACTACAGACCAGGGTTACCTATGATCAGTGGCGTATCAAGGAATTTGAAAAGGGGGTCTTAACATTCATATTTGCATATAATTCCTATTTATTATTATAATATTTAAACTTGATTATTTCCTGGTGAAAAATAAAAATACAAGCCAAATTAGGCTTCTTGTTGAACGAAATATCACCAGTGTTGATACTAATCTTTCTTCTATTAATCAAGTTAATCAATTAGTAACTGTTCTTTCAAATGCTTTCACATCTGCCAGATCAGTGACCAAACCTTATGTGCAATTAATTATTTTTACATAGTTTGCATTCATTCCTCCTAACTCA